CTAAAGAAAATGGATTTTTCGGAGAACGTCCTTAAGTACTTGTATAATTCTATGTGAATTTATATACTACATATGTAATCCTTTAAACTGCGCGCCGAAATGATTTTTTGGTCTTGAAACGCAAACTCTACTAACTACTGTAGTAATTTCACGAGTTAAATTAACTAGCAATTTAATAATTTTTCGTTCTAAGATATGAAAAAGCATCAAATTGTTAAATTGTCAATCAATTTAACTCATGATATTACTGCGGTAGCTTATAGCGTATTTCACTGGCAGAACCGGTGCGCACTCAGTGCACATTAAAGCTGTTGTACATTAACCTAATCTGACTGTAAAAATGAGAGATCTCAATTAATAAAATACTCAATGTATATTTTATCAAATATCACAATAAAATATATTAAAGATTTCGTGGTTTAATTTATTTCTATATTTTTATTAAACGTACATTTTTATGTCGATTTGTGTACAACAGCTTTAAAGTGCACTGAGTGCGCACCAGCTCTGCCAGTGAAATACGCTATTAGTAGAGTTTGCGTTTCAAAATGAAAAAATCATTCCGGCGCGCAGTTTAAAGGATTACGTATAAATTCACACATTTTAGAATTTTTTATACAAGCACTTAAGAGCCAATTAGACCGTTAAAAGGCATTTATTTCTATTGGTTGTGTTCTCACATGTATAGGCGGATGAGATTTAATATTTAATATTATATTTTTTATAATATTTTACAGTATTTGCAATACTTACAGCATATAATTCCTCCTTTGTGACATATGGCCGATCTGCTGCTGTGATTGCTCGGAAAGCGTTCTCTATTTCCTCCGAACTCTGCACGTTCTCCGTTTCCTTACTGATCATAAACGCCATGTATTCTTGCAGTGATACGTAGCCGTCCCTATTAGGATCCACAATATCTGTAAATAATAATACTGTATTAAAATAGGTGTTCAAAATAATGTACTACACTAAGAGTCACACTGAATTAAATGAATTAAAATCGACAAAACCTAATATGTTCTCAAATTCTGGATCAGGTTGTCCTTCTTCTATCATAGGAAGGTCGTAGCCCAAAGCTCTCAGGCACGATTTGAATTCTTGGTGATTCAGGCGGCCGCTCTTGTCCTTATCGAAGTGTTTGAACATCATAGAGAATTCTTTGAGTGCATCTTCAGATACACCTGACTGGTTTCTCGCTTGAATCTGTTGTTCCAAATTGTGTTGCATACGCATTCCTAACTGATCCAATTGATCCCATTGCTGTGCCAATCCTACGGTACTGTGTTCTGTATAACGATTATCCAGAATGAGATGTTCCTCTAAAATAGCTCCTAGATCTTCAATTTTCTTCAGATCTTGACGACGTGCACGTACTTCTTGAGTTTTTCGCTGTAAATTTGAATATAAATAACATAATTACATAATGAATATATAAACCTTGCATAAATTATCTTTATGATAAATATATCTATTTCAATTAAACAAACCTTGGTAGCTTCCAGTTGCTGTTCCAAAGATCCGGATCCTTCCATCATAGATGTTCTATAAAATAAAATAAATTATTTACATTTCTATTTCTAATTAAATAACTACGTAAATAAATTTCTTTAAAATGCAAACCTTGTTTCCGCAAGCCATTGATGGAAGGCATTGGCATGCTTGGCGAATTCCTTACGTAATTTATCATTTTCCTCCTGTCGCTGTGCTTCTTTCGCAAGCTCAACATCGCGCTCCTTAATTATCTTCTGTAAGTTCCGCCAAGTATCTTCCAAGGCTTCCATCGTGAACCACGTGTATGGATTCGGTCCGACATTGAAGCTCTTAATTTGTCTATCAAGAGCAGCTAGGGCTTGGAAATCAGCTTCAGCCGAGGATAAGCTTGCTTGAAATTGTGCGTGTGCCTCGCGAAGAGCTCGAATCTCCTCGATACTATTACAACGTACAGGATCCGTTAAATCTTCCTCGGCATTCTCAAACCAAGAGTTGAAAGCGGATGCCTTCTTTGCAAATGTCAGATAGAGCTCTTCGATCTGCCTGAACTGATCCTGCATTCTTAATAAACGTTGTTTTCTCGAGTCGGAATCGGCCAAAAGTTTTTGCCAACGAGCAATGACATCAGCATGACGTTTTTGAATGCTGGGTGTTTGATCGTGACCAGAATCAACAAGCATTTCCTTCAATGAGGTGATATTCTGGATACCTTCGTGTTCGAAGGCATGAAGACCAGCATCAAAGGTCTCCTGTTTCGTGAGTAGAGTTTGCACGGTAGACAGATCCCGACCAAACTCCTCGGAACGCACATGAGTTTCCTTATCAGCGATCCATGACTC